CCCCCAGAAATGAACAGAACCAGTTTAGACCAACCCAGGTGTTACCAACTATAACCACAGTTAATAATATTATCTAACCCACATTGTCTTGAAGCTTTATCAGAGGAGGGCCCCAAATTCTTGCACTTGTTGGGAATGAAGGGACATGTGGCCTGATCACAATTTGTCCCCATTTAAATGACAACTAGTTAGATATGAATCCTTTTCCCCGCTAACTTTTTCATCACGTCTTGTAAATGGAGGTTATTAGCTTTCTCAAACCAGCTCTTGCATTTCCTCTTGGGTGTCAGGCTTCTGTGCTGCAGCAATCTGGTTTACTCCCAGGGAATTCTTCCTTAGCATGTCCTAACTCACACAGAGCCGAGTCATGTGGCTTTGCCGTGCCTCAGTGATCCCCTTCTTTTTTTTTTTATTAATCAATTTATTGGGGCTCATACAATTCATCACAATACACAGATCAATTTTGTAAAGCACATCTATACATTTGTTGCCCTCATCATTCCCAAAATTCTCTTGCCTCTTGGGTTCCCGGAATCAGCTCATTTCCCCCCCCCACCTTCCCTTCCTCCTCCCCTTTCCCCCATGCACCCTTAATAATTTATAAATTTGGTACAGTATAGTAATAATGAAACTCACAACCTTCCTCTAGTTCTTAAACGCTTCCTCCCCCCGACTACCAGGACCCCAGTTTCGCCTTGCAGACCTGGTTAGACCAGATGATGCACAGCGGTACAGATGGGAGTTGGACGCGCAGGGAATCTAGGACGGAAGAACCTCTCAGGACCGGGGGTGACAGTGGCGATACCAGGAGGGAAAGGGGAGGTAGTAAGGGGGAATGGATCACAGGGAGCCACATATGGCCTCCTCTCTGGGGGACGGGCAGCAGTGGGGTGGGTGAGGGGAGGCGCCGGACAGTGTAATATAAGATCCCCTTCTTAAGACAGAGAACTATGAGCGTCCCTCCTCTCTCTCGATGCCAGAAGGAACCAAAGGAGAACGCAGAACATGGTGTTGTTGCTAGATGCTATCGGGTTGGTTCTGACCAACAGTGACAACAGAAGGAAGCGCTGCCTGGTGCTGTGTCACCCTCACAATGGTCCCTGTGCTTGAGTCCCTGATGGCCGCCACTGGGTCAGCCCGTCTCCTTGAGGACCCTCCTCTTTGATGCTCCTAACAATGTCCTTCTCTTAGGACTGGTGGTTCCTGACAATATTTCCAAACAATATAAGGCAAAATCTTGCCTCTAAGGAGCACTCTGCTCATAATTCTTCCAAGAGAGATGTGTTTGTCTGTTTAGAAGTCCCTGGTACTTCGAACATTCTTTGGCTGCACCACAATTCAAACACATCAATGCTTCTTTTGTCTTCCTTCTTCAAAGTCCAACTTTGACATGCATATGAAGCAACAGAGAACACCATGACTTGGGTCAGGCGCACCTTAGTCCTCAAAGTAACATCCTTGATCTTCAATACTCTAAAGATGTGCTTGCAATTGTACAATTCTACTTGATATGATTGAAATATGGAATGATATGTTTTTTTTGTTTGCTTTTAATCATTTTATTGAGGGCTCGTACAACTCTTATCACAATCCATGCATCCATCCATTGTGTCAAGCACATTTGTACATTTGTTGCCATCATCATTCTCAAAACACGATAGGACGTGTTATATGTATTAAATCCCAGCTAATAAAAAGAAAAGAAAAAAGAGAATCAGAGAAAAAAGGGGAAACAATACTCTAGAGGTCTTATGCAGCAGATTTGCCCCGTGCAGTGTGTCTTTTCATCTCTTGACAGCTGCTTCCATGAGCATTGATTGTGGAGCCAAGTAAGACAAGATATTGAAAATCTCTACCGTTTCTCCATTTATTATGATGTTACCTACTCGTCCTGTTGGGAGGATTTTGGTCTTCTTTATACTGAGTTTTAATCCATACCGAAGGCTGCTCTCCTCGATCTTCATCAGCAAGGGACTCAAGCCCTCCTCACTTTCAGCAAGCAAGGTTGTGTCATCTGTCTATCACAGGTTAATAATAAACCTTTTCCCAATCCTGATGCTTCATTTGTCTTCATATAATCCAGATTCTCGGATGATTTTTCTCAGCATACATATTGAATAAGTATATATAGAGGATACGACCCTAAAGCACACTCTTCCTTATTTTAAACCATGCAATATACCCTTGTTCTGTTTGAACCGCCAGCTGTATTTGGCCAAGGATTTAATTAAGTCACCCCTCATGTGATGCTCCTTCTCTCAGGTGAGGCATGTGATGTTAGCTGGTCTTGATGATTTGGTCGTTCCCAGGAAGCCTGTAGGCTGGATAGCCCACCCTTCTTCAGGGCAACGGCTCTACCCTCCAGACTCTGGGTATTTGTCGTGCTCTCTGGATTCTGCACCTTTCAAAACACTGGAATGGTGATTCTTCTCTTTTGACTTTAAGAGCCCCATTTTCATAGTCTAGCAGAATGGTAATCTTAAAAATTGTTCTTGTCCTTTAAAACCTGTTCAACACTTTTTGACTTTGGAATACTGTCCCCTCATCTTTGGGCAGTGGGTCTCCCCAGCTCCCTGGGTACTTGTAAATGGCAAAAGTGAGTAGGTGAAGAGCTGATTTTTTGAAACGTAGAAGGCTGTGGTGCTAATCTTTGAATGCCCAGAGGATGCAACTCCCACACTTTGAGACCTCCGAGTCTGTGGCCTATCTTTTTAGACCAAGGCAACTCTGTTTTCTGCAGAGTTTTCAGCTTCTGCTTCCTCATTCCTCGCTGTGCTAGGCTGAGCTGACTAGAGAAACACTTTCAGTTACACTCATATATGTGTAAGAAAGAGCTTTATATTAAGAAGTAATTTTATATTAGCAAAACATCCCAGCCCAGTACATATCAAGTCCATAAGCCCAATACTAGTCCATAAGTCTAATACTAGTCCATACATCCCTCTTCAGACTCATGCAACCACAAGCAATGATGCAAAATGCAGGAAGATCACTGGCCAGTGCGTGTTAAGTCTTGTGGATCCAATGGTGGCAGATGCATTTCCAGGGCTCTGGCAGGTCTCCAAGTGATTCGATGGCAGGAAAGTGAAGGCACAGAGATAGAGGATGTCCCCAGGATCCTCCTTATGAGAAGGCCATGCCCACAAGGAGGCACCATCAGGCTGTGACCTGATTGACAGGCTAGACTCTTACGGGTGCCATGCTGGCACACAAAAAAACTATCGCATGTGTCATGTCAGCCCCTTAGGCCAACCTAGTCTCTTGCCTACTATGGCAAGTGTTATCAAGCTCTTTAGCCCTCTGATAAGTTCCCCAAGGGCCACTCGACTGCACCAGTAAGCAGCAGTTAGAAGGGCTCAACGTTCTTGTTTTGTGGAAAGGCCACTGCACTACTGCAGTGGTCTTCTGGTTCTATTGTCACTGCTCCATGCTGTTTGTGTCATTTCTACTATTACAGCTCCCTGCCCTTCTGGGTTCTCACTCAAAGTGGCTTTGACATCCATAATTTCATCATCAATTTATTCAAGGCAATTAGCTTTCGCTATTGAAAACAACAACAACAAACCTATCCCCTGCCATTGATCAATTCTGACCCAGAGTGACCCTACAGAGAGTTTCAGAAGCTATCAAGCTTTACTGAACCAAACAGCCTCATTTTTCTCCCATAAAGTGGTTGGTGGGTTTGAACCACTAACCTTGTAACTAGAAGCCCAACACCTAACTCACAGTACCACCTCTGCCCATTACCCAATTCCGAAACTGCTTCCCCATTTGAGGTTATCTATTAGAGCATCATCCCATCCCAGTACAAAATTCTGTCTTGGTTATCTGGTGCTGCTATTACAGAAATACCAAAGTGCATGACTTTTAACAAACATCGTTATCTCGCACAATTTAGAAAGCTAGAAAGCTAAATGCAGGACATTAGGTTGGACAGAGAATTTATTTTCTCTGTTGGCTCTGGAATAGGGTCCTAGTCTCCTTTCAACATCCGTGAACCCAGCATTTCTTGGAGATGGCCATGTGTCTGGGTATCAATCTTCCCCTGGATGTAGGGGGCTCTCAGCATAGGGACCCTGGGCCCAAAGGAAACACTCTACTCATAACTCTTCTTCCTTGATGGTGGTCAGGCCCCTCCTTTGCTTGGTTCTATCCACTTTTATCTCTCTTTTTTTCTATTTTTATTTTTTTAATCATTTTATTGGGGCTCATACAATTCATCACAATCCATACATACATCAATCGTGTAAAGCACACTTATACATTTGTTGCCCTCATCATTCTCAAAATTCGCTTTCCTCTTGGGTTCCTGGAATTAGCTCCTCATTTTCCTTTTCCCCCTCCCCTTCCCTCCCTGCTCCCCCCTCCCTCATGAACCCTTAATAATTTATAATTATTATTATATCTTATCCACTTTTATCTCTTGTAAAATAAAAGGTGGCATAAACCACATACCAAGGAAATTCCCCTCACATCAGATCAGTGCAGTATACTGAGGTAAAGGTATTTCATCCCAACCTAATCCCCAAGATTGGTTGATCATATCAGATCACATAAAGGAAGATGATTACATCATTTCATGACTGCCAGCTTACCTTATTACATAACAGCCAAGCAACAGAGAATATGGCCTAGGCAAGCTGACTTTTTTTTTTTTTTTGGATATGATTCGATCCATGACATCTTCCAAATTCCAGGCAATGTAGTTATTGTCCGAGAGATCTCGATGGTAGTGAGTTTTGCATTTTGGGCATTTATAATCTAGTATGTCTTTTCTTTTCCTCCCTTCCATTCCATCTTCCTCTCTATCCCCCTTTCTCTATCTTCTCTTTCTTCTTTCCTCCCATCCTTTCTCCCCCAATCCTGCCTTCACAAAGCTTGCATGGAAGTGGAGCATCTCTCCTTTACAACCGTGTGTGTGTAACTTTCATAAAATTACCAGGCTACATATACAGTTCTTTTCTTCACTCTTGAGATTGAAAAACACCCCTCTTACTTACAGCTATGGAGAACCTCTGAATATTTTCATCTTCACAGTCCTGGATGACCTCACTCAGCCTGTGGCTGTCATGGGACTCCCCATCAGTCACGATCACCATGACCTTTTTGACCCCTCTCCGTGCACCCCGGGCTTCAGTGAATGCCTCTTGCCTGGAAAAAGCACAGATAGAAGAAGGACCAATGAAAAATCACCTAAGATGAGGCAAAGCAATAAACAAACAAAACATGGATAACTGTAGGTAGCCCAGTGCTTTCGCTCCAAGATCAGCACCAACACCCATTGTTGGAGCTGGAAGGCATAAGGATCATTATTTGTCCAGATTTATTCCAGACGAAGGGGAGGTCACCATTCTGCTAATGGTCACACACACATTCCTTAGACAAAGGGCTGAAGTAAGGAGTTGTTTTTGTGGACCGTTCAAAGGAGGGGTGTGCGGGGGAACACATCAGAGTTAGAGAGCGTGAGTTCTATAACAATGCTCCCAGTCAGTTCTTACTGTATAAATATTGACTTTCTTGTTTGACGGGCCTCTTTCCTTTTGCTTTTAGCAGGAGCTTTCTCCTGGCCCTCTCTGGCTTCCATACTTACTCTGGCAGTCATCGAAGACATTAGGAATTCTTTGAGCTGAGGAGAGGAGAGGAGAGTGAACAGAATTTTTATGTGGTTTGAGTGTTTGAGAGAGTGTGAGATATGGGGAAAATATCAGTGATTGAAATAAAAGGCAATGGTTTAAGTCAGTGGCCTGGCAGCTGAGCAGAGTTAAATGAATCAAGGATGGATTGGGTATCTCTAAGAGATGTAGATAGAATCAGGTTTTAGAACACAGAATAATAAGTGTGTTAAGGTGGAGAAATGGAGCCGAAGGAACATAACTAGAACCTGACTGCAAACAAAATAATTTTAATTTTATCCCATAAGAATGTATCCAGGGAGAGATGGAGAAAAGGGAGTAGTGGACAACTTTTCATTTGCTTTATGTGTTGTATAAACTACACATGTTCACCCTCCTTTAATATGTCCTTGTATCAACTCACTCTCTCTCTTGACTCTTGGACGAGAAGAGTGCATCTAACTTCACGGAAATAATGAAAGGATTTCCTCACAATATTTTTAGAGTTTATATAAAGTGAAGCAATCCTTATGTTAAATGATTCCTTTACTACTTTACTTTGGTCGTGAGGACAAAGATTTGCAGGTTTGAACAGGCCGACAAAACACTTCTCTTAAACCAACATTCCACCACCAGTGCAGAGCATGCTCACTCTCGCGTAGATGCACCGTGAATCCACAACGGTAGGTACTGTGTGAGCAGTGGCAATGGGCTCTGTTGGCCCAGGTGGACAAAGGGTATTGTTATTGTACGTTAGGTTGGGGTCTGCCTATCAGATCATCATTTTCACAGTCACCATTTTAAACCACCTATCAAACCTCTCAATCGTTTACTGTTTCTTTCCCCACACCCCCGTTTTTCTATCTCCATATAGTACGTTATCTTTCCCTTCACCAAAGTTGACACCTATTTAAGGACAAAGGCTATTTTATCTGTGATTATTCTTTTCCTTTAAAAGGACTTGAAGTAAGCCTGATAAGATGTTAAACATTTTCCATCCTGTTCCGTAGATATGCAGGATTTTACATGTACCTGCCTGAAGGGTCACAATGTGTACAATTTTATTGTAGTACTCTTTATATGTTTCTATTTTTCTTAAAATTTTCAAAATTAAAAAAAAAACATTTTTTTTTCTTAAAAAAACACATGGATCATGGAGGGGAGGGACAGGACATGTGTGTGCTCTTAACACCACACAGAGAGATGTTCTTGTAAAGGGTAGTCTTTCAAACAAGGATATTGATGTCATATGAGAGTCAACCCTAATTCCTTAGTTCTAATTCCTTAGATGATCATCAAAATGCCTCATTCTCATAAAGATCAAGGCCATAATTGAATGAACATCAGCAGATGGAGATGATTAAAAGCACTTTCTTGTACAAAAGCTGAGAGCTGGAACCAGGGCTAGTTTTATATGATGTCAGAACAGCTACTGGCTGAACTCTGTAGCACATTCGTGTTTTTAAAATATATTCCTCACCACATTGCTCATGTCTCCAAAACACAGCATCCAATGCCCTTTCTTAGAACTAAGCAGTGACCTCTCTACCAGTATTTTAAACCTCAAATGTTCCAGAAAGGTCCCTTTTCTAGGGGCAGGGAGAATTCAGTCTAATAGTTAAATACCATAAGCCTATTTATCAAAAGGGAAGGACATATGGTATACGGAGAAGAACACCAAATGTCTTATGAATTGAAATACACTGTAATGAGGCAAACAATCTTAAAACTTTTAAAATAGTGCTTGCAACCAGGCCTGCTTGCAAGAGATACTGCAGCAATTAAAAACATGTTTCAAGTGTTAAAAAAAAAAACCACACCCAAATGCACAAGAAGGAAACTTATTAACAGCATGGTAAGCATTTCATTTATATTCAAAATTCCCTAATCTCTGTACCCTGCAGCTTGACACTTTGTGAAAAGCAGAGCCCCAAACCAGACAGGGGCATGGCATTTAGCATAGTATTCACGCATGAGCAAAAGCAGCCAGAACTGTTCTCCAGTTAGTTTTCAAAGATGAATATTCATTCTTCAGTGGCTGCTTTCGGAAAATGCACAGCTCCCTACAGGCTTAGACCTCTCAAAGAAGGCTTTGGTTTACTTTGAATGTGCAGTCATTGACCTCTAGTCAATGATTGCAGACGGTGCTTGCAGTACGCCTAGGTTTGTGCAGGTTGTGCATGCAAATTGTGACCCTGCAGGCAGGTACATGTGACCTGACCCCGGCTGCTAGTGGTGATTTTCTCCTGGGGGCCATGTAACTAGAACCGCATGCTTTTCTAACACGCAAGAGTCTAAAGCTGCACATGAACTTTTCAAATGTTCGAATATCTGACCTTGTCTTCAGTGTATCCATACTAATGATTTTAACACCTTTAAAACACTCACCTTTGAAAGTGGGAAAAGTGAGAACGTGGATATGAAGCTCTTCAGAAACTACTGAGAGAGAGAGAGAGAGAGAGAGCAGAGACTGAAGACACGCAGAAGAAGAATTCTTAATATCAGCTAAGCTATTTGTTAGATTCCCATGAATTGGGGTACTGTTTTTGTTTGTTTGGTTTTGCATGCAAGAGCCTAGAAGCTTTCATTGTGATGAAGGGAGAAACAGTGGTGAAAAGAGCTGAAGATGGGCTAGGAGAAAGTAGAGATGATACCATGCTCCATATTGGAAGAGAAGAACAGATCTGGTGATATGTGTGAAATGTCATCCAACCATAGCGTACGTTATGTGCTTTCCGTGAGAACTGTTTGAGAGGAAGAAGAAAGGATGTCAAGGGGAAGGAATTTAGAGAAGGTATGGAAAAAGAAAGAGCATTCTGCATGTTCAAATCCTTTCAACTTCTTTCAATCTGGGAACTGAACAAAAACCAGCTGAAATAAGGCAATATTTTATTTGGCTTCTCCAACGTTCTTTTTTGACATCTTCAACAATGTCAAGTAAAGTCCGAAAAAATATATAGACTTCATGTTAATCTGTTTTTTTCCTATAACTGGGACTCTTAGAATCTAAAAACAAAGAATAAAGGGAAAATATATTCACTAATATAAAGACTAGGTACTCAAGAATCAGATCCAGTAGACGGAAGTAAGTGTGCACCTGAGTCTGCACCAAGGAAACTCTTGGGCTAATAGGCAAAGAAGAGAAGAAAGATTAGACAGTACCCTAAGTAAATTTGATCTGGTTTCCGCTAGTTCATTGATCAGCTGGATCTAATTTTTTAAATGGCTGCAATGTATTGCCAAGGTAAATTTTCAGTCAACATATCAAGAGGCTAAATGGTGAACAGTTACTTCTGCAGTCTTCTACTCGAGTTTATTTTTCATTCATATACCTTGCTGTGTCTATTCCAAGGGCTGTGTTAGTCCGGAGGCCACCTCTCTGGATTATTTTTTTCGCTGCAACGAGTATTTCTTCTGTTGATGAATATTTGTTGAGGCTGAACTCATGGGTTACATTTTCTCCATATTGTAAAATTCCAACCTGAAATACCAAGTCACTGAGAGTTATCCATCTGGTACAGTTGCCTGTTTTAATTTTCTTTAGTTTGATCATATACACCAGATGGAATGCATTTTATTCTTTCAGAGGACCTTAAAAACTTATCAGTTCACAAAGGCTTCTACTTTGACAGTAATAATCATTGCCAACCTGTGCATATTCATAACCACAGAGCAAAAAACAAAGGACAGTTATAAAACTTTGGAAATGATTGGCTTATGCATTCAACAGTTTTTACTGACTGACTTTGGTAGGTCCTGGGCAGACATGATGAACTAGATCAGTCATGCTTTCCTGGAGTTTCTACGCAAGATGAAAACGATTAAAACCGTGACCATTCAAATAATTTTATATTTGCAAACTGTGCAAAAAGCTGTAAAAGAAAAGCTGTAGTCTGTTGGCTAATTTAAAAAGAGAGGCTCAGAGAAGACTCCCAGAAATAATATTTAAGTTGAGATTGCAGGGTTGTTAAAGTGCAGAGGACAGTGAGCTGTTCTAGATGATACCTGAGCTTAGGGACAGCACTCTACACAAAGGTGGGAAGAGGTGGAGAAGGGAAAGAGATAGGTTTGTCCTAGGGATGGAAAGAGAGGCAGAGATCCTGTCCCAGGGCTAATGACAGTGGAGTCGAAGGGAGATGAGGCTAGAGAAATAGGCAAGGAGAGTGATGTGCAGAGAAATCTGGGTGGCATAAGTGGTTTGACATCAATTGCTAAAGGTTCTCCATTTGAATTCACCCATGGAAGGGAGACCTGCAGAGTTGCCTTCTCAAAGAGATCAGCCAAGGAAACCCTCGAGGGACTTTTACTCTGCCACACAGGGAGGAGCCACAAGTTGGAATCAACTCCATAGCAGTGGATTTTTATTTGGTTTTGGTGTCTTGGGGGAATACTTAAGGATCCCTGGTGGCATAGTGGTTATGAGTTAGGCTGTGATACTGTGTTAGTCTGGGTAGACTTGAGAAACAAATTCATAGATTATATACAAGAGCAATTGAATATTGAGAAAACATCCCAGCCCAGTCCAGATCAAGTCCATAAGTCCAATATTAGACCATATGTCCGATACCAAGATATAAATTCCTCTTCAGACTCATGTAACATATGCATTGACTCCAAATGGAGGAAGATCACAGGCCAGTGGGTGGAAAGTCTTGTGGATCCAGTGCTGACAGTGTAAGCATCTCAGTGCTGGCATGTATCTCCACGTGCTCCACCCACCCCTCAGCTCCAGAGTTCTGGCTGCATCAGCATAGCTTTATCAGGCTTGTCCTCAGTAATGTCTCGCAGGGAGTGTGCACGTGTCCTGCCTCCAGTGAACCGTTTATCTCCTTAGCTCCTCCAAATGAGGTCATCAAGCTGCAACCTGATTGATAGGCTAAACTCCACCCCTTCATTCTCACGTCTCAAATTGACAACAGATTATGTCACTACCACGGATCATCAGTTTGAAACCACCAGCTACTCTGTGGAGAAAGAAGGGTCTTTCTACTGCTGTAAAGAGTTACAGTCTTGGAAACCCACAGGGGAAGTTCTACCCTGTTCCATAACGTCACCCTGAGTCAGAATCGAATCCACAACAGTGAGCTTTGTTTTCTTTCTTTGGAGCAACGCTTAATTCTTTCAGGCTTTGTTACATTAGCCTTGTCTTCCTTTTTTTCAAGTCAGCACTTCTCCCACCCAATCCCCCTTCTTTACTTGCTCCTTTTCCTCCTTTCTCCTTTCACTCTCTCTTCGCAGATGAATTCTGCAAGCAGCATACTGCAGAGACAAGCTGACGTAAAGTAAAGCAGGTGTCCTCCAGGCTTGATAGACCGTCTCCTTCTTTCTCCTCCTGTTTCTTGGGCAGAGATGCTTTCTTCTCTTACTTTTAAAAGCCCCTTCTTTCGGAATCCAGGGTGGATGAGCCCTGCAGGACCAGTGGTGTGAGTGGCGAAACAGGGAGGGTAGAGGGAGAGTGGGTAGGAAAGAGGGAACCGATTACAAGGAACTATATGTGACCTCCTCCCTGGGGGACAGACAACAGAAAAGTGGGTGAAGGGAGACGTCGGACAGGCCAAGATAGGACAAAATACCCATTTATAAACTATCAAGGGCTCATGAGGGAGAAGGGAGCGGGGAGGGAGGGGAAAAATGAGGACCTAATGGCGGGGGGTTTAAGTGGAGAGAAAATGTTTTGAGAATGATGTACAAATGCGCTTTACACAATTGATATGTGTATGGATTGCGATAACAGTTGTATGAGCCCCTAATAAAATGTTTATAAAAAAAAGTAAGACAAAACAATCTAAAAAAACAAAAAAACCCTCCTTTAAAGGTTAAGTCCAACCAAATAATGATAATAATCTGCATCAAGATAGTGAATCTGCCTCCAGAGGACTGGGGACAGAGCTCAGCTTAACCATTTGATACCATTTCATCCCAAACTAAGGACTTGCAGAATTCCTTACCTAAAGGAAGGCATTTGTTATAGGAATTCAAGCCCTTCACATTTTGAGTAGGGGAAGTACACGTGACAGGCAATTGCCCCCCTGCCAGTTGGCAAAGCTGGCTCTGGCTCCTGCCTGATAGCCAACCTTGTCTCCAGTGTTAGTCTTCTTTCCTAGCTTCTAGAAAGGTCCAGCATCTATCATCTTTCTGTCTTCCACTGCCAATGTTAGTCTGTTCACAGCTAGGGTTAATTATATTTCTGTTTATCAATGCATTGTCACAGCTCAGTTTTCTTAAAAGCCAGAAGCATTTTCTTCTTTGTGCAGTAACAAATAAGAGCACCCTATAGTTGAAATAATCTTTGAAATGTACAACATCTTGGAGCAATTCTTCTGTTATTGTTAAATAAAAATAGTATGCTTTGTTTTTAGTTTACAATACATTTTTATTTTAAAAATTCTTATTATGGTAAAAATTAATATCACATTTCACAGATGAAGAAACAGTGGATTAAAAATCCACTCTATAGTTGGTTGAAGGAATGTCTGTTTAATCCACAACCTGTATCCTTTATCCCAGGGATCTTTGCATCACTAGGCTCCTTCTCCACTGGACAGCTCCCTATAATCCTTTGATGGCCTCACTCACTTAATACTAGTGTTATTTCAATGAATTTGCTTAGCTGTTTGTAGAGTGGAATGAATTTGATGTGCACCATTGAGTCAAAACTGACTGATAGTGATGCTGTAGGACAGAGTAGAATGGTCTTGTGGGGTTTCCTCCACTACACTCTTTATGTAGCCTGGTGAACAAGAAATCTCCAGGTCTTTTGTTCCTCAAAGTGGAGAGTGGGGTCCAACGACCAGCCTTTGCTTAGCAGCTGAACACCAAGTAGGGCTCCTTAAATACACTACAGATTATGTTTCAATAAATATGCAAATAACAAATAAATCAATTGGGCATATTTCAAAATAAGGAAATGAACTTGTGAATCCTTCCCTAGTTCCCTTAGCTGAGTATAAGACAACTCAGATATAACTAGAGAAACGATGCAAGTATAAAATAAGGTATATATTATAAGTATTATAAACTGAATGAGCATACGATTTGCCCAATTCCTGTACATGCATCCCTGCTGATGAGAGCAGAGCCATCACTGCCTTGCAGGCTGTTTCCTTGCATTTCAATTCAACGTGATGACTGGTTTTCTCTTTATTACCCCTGCATAGATTGAAAATTCTTGCCCCCAATGGGCCTATAGCTTTTGATCAGTAATCCAGAGAGACTTTGGATAATTATTAAGGGAAATCACGCAGACTTGACATTGACTTTGTATACATAAGCATTCAGTGTAAATGAAAGCGAAGCGATTTTATGTTACTTAGATAATCATTATCCTAACTCTAGGTGCCAAGATGAATAAATAACAGTGTGGAAGTTAATTGCTCATCCATTCGGGACATCGTAAAGAGTTTCCGTTTTGCTTTTTGTTGGTTGTATTTGCTTAGGTAGGAAGCTAAAGAACTTGGGAAATTTTTACGCCTATTTCTGTCATAATTCTTGAAAATTGTAGTATCTATTGGGATACTGTACCAAATGCTCTTGTCTCTCAATTCTCGGTTCCTCAGTTTCGGTGATCTTTCCCTCTAACTCACCGGTATCAGCTATTCCAAAGATCGTATCATTCACTTTGGCTCCCGGAGAGACTGCAGCACTCCGGTCTCAAACAGAAGCATTACATGTGACTTTGGGTCCCAACTCTCTATTGAATTGAGCCAGTCGCTGACCACCTAAGACCTCTAATAAATTCACCAGCCCTACCCTTGATTCCCTCGTTTTTCTGTAGATCCCACGGTCCATCAGCATAATCATTAACTTGCAAGCATTTCACTCTCTTCACTTTTCCCCTTCCAGTAGACTGCCTTGGCTACCTCCCAACTCTGTTTCTGTGAGGCTAAAAGTTGCTAAACAAAAAGCCACATAACTTTCAAGCCGGTCTCACTTCAAAGTTATGACCCTGAATCTGAAAGGGGGTTGTGTGCAGCACTGCCCAACAATCCTGCTCCCATTTTCCTAGTGAGTGCACTCAACGCCTCTCTATTGAGTTAAATCGTATTCTAGTCAGAAATCCCCAAGCGCATGAGCGCATCTCACTTTTGCATGAGGCTGAGTTCGTCCCCAGGATAAGAGGTGAACGCCATGCCGACGGAACAAAGCTGCTTTATGCCAGCAGTGTGCAACACTTGATATTCACAACACACAGTCCATATAGCGGAGGACCTACTAGGAGCTTTTGAATTATTTGCATCGCATGTATAGGAAGAGCTTTAACATCTGGATAAATCAGAGATACATTTAAAATATATTATCTCTTTGCTTGCTCTCTGCCTTCCTCAGTTTGTAATCTATCTCACCTCTACAAGCTCATTCTTTGCAAATTTTAAGGTTTTATGAGAACATTTTCACTGCCAAGTGTCTCATCCCTTTGTATACTTCTTTTCTAATCACGTCCCATGAGATGCCCTTCAGACGCCTGCCCTTGGGCTATTAGAA